AAGACTTATTCGACAAACAATTTCCATAAACGCGAAAGGGTTTATACCTACATATTTCATTTTCATAGAGTTAATGAAAATGATTGTCAACCGTCAATTTGCTTATCGCGGTATTTGCCAAAAGCATTCGAATACTTTGGATCTTCCGTCGCATGTTCGAGATACTGGTATCTTTAATGCGAATCGTTCTGCCGGGATACTGGTTCGTCCGTTTGAGCTAATGCCGAGCAAAAGGAAGATTAATATTAGCTGAACTAATCCCAAGTGTAATAAGCCAGGGAGCAAACAACTCGTTTGATGAAACACAGAATGGCGGAATTCCATTAACGGTGTCACATTATCGGATTTAAGTTAATACCTAATGCGAATATATCGCTATCGGCATAACTTGTTTCGCGGCTGATACCGACGAGGATAAACTTGATAATGAAAAACAGGTACTATTAAAGGTTGGTAACTTCGCTGATTTCCAAGATTGAAGCGTCCAAGATTAGAATATCTGCAACTTTCATTACGAGAAATACGAAAGTTTAAAAAAAAAGAAAAGAAAGCGCGTTGACGTTAAACGCGGTATTAATAGATGACGTTGTTTTACGTAATTATGTAATTTTCTGGAAAAATTTTCAAGCGGTAAATTATGCAATTGCGTGCAATTAATCTGGAGTAATGTAAATCATATAATCTGATTTTCATTTTATTAATACTAGCAAGTCGGTTATTAAAATGCATCTAAAAACTGCATGAAAGAAATTAAATGAAGAAACAAGCTACGATTGTTAAAGAAGTTAGAAATATATATTTCATAACATTGTATAATAATTCTCTATACTATGTAATTACGTGGAAATAAATTTGATCGTGTTGTAATATTTTTTAATATTCTTCCCCTTTATTTTTTTTTTTTTGTAATTATTTATCCTTCTCTGCTGAATTCGCTGTTTCAATTTCCATTATTAATAATTTGTTACAGACAGAACTACGACCCATTCCCAAATCACAATGGCGCAAACTCAGCTTTAATTTCACACGTATAGTGTCAATTAATAACAAACACGTTGTACCTTTTATTCTGATAGTTTAATAAATTACATTCTGCAAGTGCATCATGTCTTTGCATGAATTGAAACGTTTCGATAAAATGTACACATGCACATGTATCATCACGTATATGCAGGCGTGTTGCCCGAGTAGAGAATTTAATTGTCAGATTGCATAATCAAACGCATCGAGAATTTCGACACCCTTTCCGCAATAAATTTCAAGAGAGATTGAAAGGTACAGGGTCCTCTGCGGCGAGCGTTTCTCTCTCTCTCTTCGCGACGAAAAGATTAAAAGAATCGCCGTAAGTGTTCTCCGAAGAGGGATTCACGGTCGCGTTATAAATCTCAAAATTTAAATCCAATTTAACGTGGCCTTAAAGAGGGGACGGGCGACGGGCGACGCGTCCTCGTGCGACTCAGGCGAGATAGTAACAAGCCAGAGAACGAGTGTCGTCGGTTGTTCCTTTCGGTGGATCCTTACTGGCTAGACGGATCTGCATTCGTATGTTTAATGTACCCTCAAGGAAGAACCTCGTCCTTTTAACTCGTTGCACCGGTAAGGCCAGTCTGCGATTCGATCGTTCTGCGTACGTCTTCGTGGAGTCCCGACTCTTCGCGTTCATCTTCATGTTTCTCGTCCGGTCGGGTGTCATCGATGCGGATAAGAGGATTTACTCGACCGAACGCCTCGCCACGAGATTTCCAAGTAACGCGTGCCTACATTACGCTGCCGGCTAATGCAGTAAAACGATCATTCCGATCGCGGACCTGATGAATTTTGTCATACATGTACTCGTCGGGACGACGTTCTCAATTGTCGACTCCTCGAGGAATTTCTGCGATACTTTTCTTCTTCTTCTTCTTCTTCTTCTTCTTTTGTGTGTGTGTATGTTTGTTTTTGATCCCGTCATTGCTCGCAATGTGATAATTGGAATATTATTGACTGCAATTACTCAAATTACTACAGATTACAAAGTTTTAATTCTTTTTCTTAATCTTCCTTTTTAATAAAATTGTATTAGCGTCAGTGTGAAGAATCAAAAACTATCTTCACACAAGTGCAATTTTTATTACTGAGTTATTAAATTTATTAATTATTAACTATTTGTGGTTACTATTTGCTGAAATTCAATGCGAAGAAGCACTGGTTGAGCTCGTGTTATCAATGAATTTGTAAGTGTAACATTACTCCACATTATTAATGACAATAATCTGTTCTGAACTATATTTTGTAAAATGTGCTACTCTTTCTATCTCACGAACTTGCTTCTTTTCATCGTTATACCCAATGTACAACAATTAGTTATATTATCAGTTACACAATAGCTACAGTTGATTGGTAATACAAAGTGGACACTAACGTTGGTAGTAAGCCAAGCTTTCCTAACGTTTCTATCAAACAGAATAGAAGCTTTCAGCGAGCAAACTTCATTTTCCAACCGCAATATTATCATTACCGACAGTAACTAATAATAGTCAAGATTCCTTCAGAATTTTCCACAATGCAACCGACAATCATGAAACCACGATAATATATGCCTCTGAAATGTTTTCTTTTCGCGACACTATACTTCAAAAAAAAAAAAAAAAAAAAAAAAAAAAATGCGGCCCAGAAGGGCGGGGTCTTCTCCCATTATCCTTGTCAGTGTCCATGCGGTCTTTGAGTAAATAACCAGCCGGGATCACAGTAATTTTTCTGTCGAAAGTCTCATTTGGTTATTCCACGGGTTTCACAACCGCAATGGATATAAATCAACGGAAATCGATGCATTGTTGGATACACATGTAACAGGTTTATATAGATATGCGTGATATATAAATAATCCAATATCTTTGATTTAAATTTTTACAGAAAAGCTACAGGAATAAAAGATTAAATGTTATTTTATGGTTATATCAAGTATTGAAGTAATTACCAGACAGATATTTTTAGCTGTATAAGTATAGAATATTTTTATAAATATAAATTAGTAGGATCTAAATATTTTAGTGATTTGAATATTCCATGTATTCTTTTACATCCTGTAAACTTTTAGACTTTAATAAATATAGTTAATAAAATTTAAGAAATTTTTCAACAATTTCGAAAACTCTAGTTTTAAGTTGTACATATTGGAACGAGTAATTCGTCATTCTTCTTAACTCGGCAATCCTAATGGCGCAAATGAAAAGACGCCTTTATAATCGAACGACAATGATCGATTTGTGTCGTGAATTTACTCTTCCTATCAATGTATCAAAAGTATCAATGATCAAACGTGGCGTTAAAAAGTACGGTGATAACGATTGTCGTGCCTACGATTACGATTACATTTGCATATTATATTTGTCAGTAGTCTACGATGACTGCATTGATTTGAACTTATGCAAGCATCTTATGCAACATTTTAAAAAAAATTTTAAATAAATTAAAAATTAGAATTATTCTTCATTTTTAGAAAGAAGAAAAATCTTTCTGTAAATAACATTTACGTGTTTGATCTGCGAGAAAAAGAATATCTTCAGAATCTACTTTTGTAACTTTAACATATTTTTTCTATTATAAAATCTTCTGTATCTAATCTATACCTGTCTTCGACAGATCTGAATGATCTTAAACTGCGTCGTAAAATTATATAATTTGTATGATCGAGTACTTCATCTTCCCGATTATATTTATTATATATATATATATATATATATGAATTTTAATTATTTCCAAGCACCAAAACTTACGATCGAGGCGGTCGATCGGTACTGGTCCAAAAGTATTTGTCTAAGACTGTTGGATCCGTTAAGGCCAGTTAGTAACCGGGATCTACCTGAACACGAAAGAACTAACACTTACTGTGATTTGTTTATTGAAGATACTAACGAAGATAAAATCGATTCTACGGTCAAGAGTTACAAGTATTACAAGTGACAGGCATTCATTCATTATTCAATTTTACAACACTGAATATTCTTCAAGGACATCTCTTCTGAATTATACCTAAAGTGTAAAGTCTAAAGGCGTTAGTCTCGTGAAAATTCTTTACTAACTCAAATAAATCACTCAACGATTAACAGATACTTTTCTGTCAGCTTTTGTTTCTTTATTAGAGTATTATCTTTTCGCATATTATTATTATACATTATTGATTGTTAAATGCATGTCCATATTTCAAGTGGTAAATCTACACATTATTAATCCTTCTGCTGTTTAATGAAACTTTGAAAAACCAAAATAGCAAGTCTCGAATAGTCTTAAATCCATTCTGAATCCTTCCTTGTAGTGCACATTATTTACAATAAAATTTTAATGAACGAACTTTGTTTAACTCATACCGATTTCCAATATTTTCATTTTGAATTTCAACATTTTCTTCAATAATTTATAACTCGATAACTAAAGTGTAGAGAAC